TAAAATTACAATATTCATAAACCATTACTATGCAAATTCTTATTGGTTTCATCTTTTGAATAGTCACATCACTCTATTCATTAATTTTCATATTCCTTTTTTTATCATATTCACGCGATCTTTGTCACTCATACAAACCAAATAAATAAATGATATTAAACGAACTTATTGCTGGAATTTAAACACATACACATTTAATTTTTAAATCTAACTCATTCTCAACGCGAGAATTGATTGTAATTTTAATAAATAAATAAATTTATAAAAAAAAAAAAATCTGACCCATCAACATGTGATTACCAAAGCATCATGAAACACATTTACTTACATTATCCTAAAAATAAATAGATAGAGTTTCGAACTAAATTCCGAACTCCTTCTCCACTGAAACATAATTTTTTACAATATTTAATCTCCATACTATTTTTATCGATTATATACGTAGTCGACGTGACATTAACGCTTTGATGCTCGCATAAATTTACTAGTAACCTTAACCAGTAACCGACGTTTTCTGATAAAAAATTTCAAGTTCGTAAACTTTAGATATCTTGCGCGTGACACCAACATAGTTTCACCGGACACTAATAGTTGTCCTGCACTTGATATCATATTGGTGCCACAGGACGTGGAAGTGCTAAAATTTATTTAACGAAGCTATTAATATATTCTATCTACGTGATCTAACAATTTACTAAATAAATTAATTATATCTACGCTTACATTATTATCTCTGTTGGAATACAACGATATCAATCGCATGCAGATGAGGTGATTGATCGTACGAATTCTTCCCTTCGGTGCCCAGCGCCATCCCCACTAGTGTGCGTTCGTCAGATGCACCACGGCGGCTACCACGTGCATGCTCTTTCGATAATTCGCCGGAAGAAGCGTAAGGATATGGAAGGAACATTGAGCTCATCGAGAAGCTACTAGAAGGTTCTGTGGCACGTGTGACGCCACACAGGCATCCACACAGGTTACACTCATTACTGCATAGAGAGTGGGGTTCAAAACCTTTTCAAAGACCATGGGTCACTAAGCCAGTTAGTCTGTGAATAACTAGCCAACTGTCTACATTCCAGAACGCACATTTATAATTCTTATAATAATTGTTTAATAAATATCACATTATATTATTTCAACACAAACATTGTGTCTTCCACAGATTATTAATCTTAATCCCAAGATTAAATTCTAACAATCTCAAATTCAAAAAGATATTAATTATAGAATAAAAAGAAAATAGCATAAGTATTTCTTACTCAATGCAGAAAACAGTATCTGTACATTTTTTGTAGTAATATTTAGATAAAACTTCTAATAATAATTCTAAATAGGAACATTTAAATAAAGATTTAATTATAATTCTTAATAGTAACATCTAAATAAAAATTCTAAATGATAATTTTACATGACGATTCAAAACATAAAGACGATTTCACCATAATTTAAAGAATTTTCGTCGAATGAAAGAGAATACTATCCTTTACAAGATCCTTTCGCTTCAGGAAACAAGATACTAAGTTAAATTCATTTAAAATGCAAACACGTAAAGTTTCCTCTGTATCTTCTTCCGTGTCTCGTAACAAAGGAAATTTTGCACAAGAACAAATTGTTTCAAGGGTCCGCTGATGTTAAGTAATTAATTAATTTCCAATTGCACTCGATATGTCCGTGTTATTCTCGACCGAATTACTCGATTCCGATAGAGAATCGAAGAAAAAGAGAGAAAGAGAGAAAAAAAGGGAAAAGGAAAAGAAAAAAAGGACGAGCTTAATCTCTCTTTCGTTGGTAGCGTTTTTCATTCTGAAATTGAGTTCATCGACTCGACGCCATTATTTTTCTCATTACGTACTAACTAAACCCTCTTCGTCAGTTCTGACAATGACAATAAACGCATAAACAGTCTGAAGAATTACACGAAACGCATGGGAAGATATTAATTCGATCTCGATTCGCGATACCTTTTAACTTTTATTTCCTTGAGTTTTAAAGCATTTGTCAGCAATTGGCAGCTGCATGACTTCTTTTCAATTGTTAAATAAATATTACTACCTACTTTTAAATGAATATTGCTACTAGATCGAGTGAAGATGTGTAAGTTATTACTGTTCAAGATAATTGAAAAGGTAAGGTTCTATGACACTGCTGAGTGAACCCTAGGAGGAGTCTAGAACTCTTGAAGGGCCAACAAACCACTCGGTAAAAGAAGCAAACTTCTATCCTTCACCCTCATCGTAAGCGATCGACAACCGGGCAGATGCGTGAAGTCAATTCTCAAGAGCTGTTGTCTTCCATCTGACGTAAACTAAAAGTCGTGGTCTGGCCACCGGACACGATAGTCAGTTACATATAGTTAGTCGTAGATTACGATCCATTTGCATCTTACAAAGATCAACGATCGTGGTCCAACCGCCAGGCACGACAGAGTCACTTATACAAAGTCAATAGTAGAGTACATTTCATCTCCGTCTTACGAAGTTCAAGGGTCGCTGTTTGACCGCCGGACACGATATAAAGTCGATATTGTGTATGATATTCAGAAAGGACAGTTCCTTAATAGTCACGCATTCAATAAATTCATATAGTTCACTATGTAATCAACTGTCTGGCTTGCAACTCCTTTCCTCCGTCATTCCCTTCACAACCGTAAGCTTTCGGACGCGTACGATTACTATGATTTGTTCTCTTAATGTTTTCACAGTGTAAATGTAATAAAACGATTTATAATGAAGAATTTGGAAAATAAGTATCTCTTTGTTCTCAACATTTCGTATATTTCTATACAGGGTGGTTGGTAACTGGTGGTACAAGAGGAAAGGGGGCGATTCTACGCGAAAAAAGAAGTCGAAAATATAGAATAAATATTTTTCGTTTAAGGTTTTGTTTTCGAGAAAATCGACTTTGAATTGTCGCTCGTTACACGTGCACTTTATCACGTCTCGTTATAACGGATCTCACTGTAGATCGTTGTCTCGATGGAAAAATTAAAAAAAAAATTTTTTTTATTTAAATCTAAATTTAAAATTTTTCTAAATTAGAAGAAAAATAGCAGTACCCCAGCAGCGACATCTTCAGTCAGCAGCTACAAGTATCACGGACAACACAACTACACCTCAGATGTTACTGTCATCTAGTGGCCAAGGATGTTCGGAATTATTATGAAGCTTATAAAAGTATAAAAATTAGATGTCTGAGTTTTAGAAACTTTTATTTCAAAATTTGCAAATTCATAGTTACGTCATTGCAAATATAATAATATATATAAAATATTTGACGGCCGTCTCTCTCTCTCTCTCTCTCTCTCTTTTTCTTTCTTTCTTTCTCTCTCTCTCTCTCTTTTTCTTTCTTTCTTTCTCTCTCTCTCTCTCTCTCTCTGTCGGGAAGAGATTATCCCAAATTAGATATGCAAATTAAATCTTACCATAACTCCTATTTTCTTTGCGCGATAGTAGAGAATGTGCAAATTTCTGATAAAATTGGTTGACAAATTTATCGGAAATTAGCAACATCTACAAACAAGTAAGCATCTTCAGAATGCTGAAGCGATGTATATATCATCTGATTTAAAGAGAACCAGGATAACAAAATGTACCGATAGCATGCAACAGAACGCCTTAAGGCCTGTAAATAACTCGCAAAACATCAGAAATAAAATGTTGCATAACGCTGTATTGATTCCCAATGATTTAACATCTCAATTATTCCTAAGTATCTTATCGGTTCGTCTATTCGAGATAACAGAAAAATAGATTACTGGGAAGAATACATCGGTTATAAGAAAAATGATAACAAGTAGATGGTATTCGATGTGATGACAAAGGAAAATCAATGCAGACCCAGAACCGACCACCATTGAGTAACTTTTTCATCGTTAAGACTGTCAGACTCCCGACACCGGATACAAAGCCGATCATCCGGATTGAACGCGATTGCCTTCTGGAAAATAGATGATTCTCCGACTCGGGACAAGGATATTGCATTGTAATGATATTGTATTCGATCTATGGGAATTAATAGTAACTACGGTTAGGTAACGGTTGCCAACGCGTTTCAATACCAATGGTCAAAGGAGAGATCGGCAGGTATGCAAATATGGTAAATACAAGAAAAGAACTCTCATAAAAAAAAGACTAGACAGAAAACACCCTACTACTGACCTCACTAAAAAAATAAAATAGAAAAACTCGAGGATGGTATCCCACTGAGAGTAGCCATCCACATATTAATTAGCAATAAAGCTAGAAAAATTTACCGAATGTCCAGCTGGACAAATTGTATTGTAAAGTACAAATAAAAAAAAAAAAAAAAAAAAAAAAAATAGTGGAGTGAAGAAAAGAAGACTTTCCCGAGTTTTCTTGGCAAAAGATAGGCTTAGACCTATGCCATAAAGACCACTGGTTTTTGATCATAACAGACTATTACTTCAGATTCCTTGAAATTTGCTGATAATAGAAAATTGTAAAAAAGCATTCGTTAGATTCGGCATTCACGAAATTGTAAGAAGTGAATACCACACACAGTTTTCGTTCAGATTCCGTCGGTTTGCGAATGACTTCAACCTTGTATGTAACAAGTTCGCCAAGGCTCTTACAGAGTAATGGTGCCAATATGAAAATTGCTAAAAGTACTACAACAAAATGCGATGATATTATCACTTAGCCATCCGCGCGCGCCACTGCGAGCTATACGTTTCCACGGCACTCGGACAAGTCAACCTATACGCTTTCCATGCATTTTTCTAAGTATCGAGGACTAATATTCATTGCTTAAAAAATAAGGAAGTTTAAAAATTATTTATATGGTCAATTATATTTTGCGGTAATGATTTTATTTAACGATTTCACATGTTGTTTATACAAAACATCAAATTAAAAGTATATATTAAAAGTATACAAAATATAGGTAAAATTACAAACATTAAAGATGAGTAAAGATAAATAACATAACTTGAACATGAAATTAAAAATATTTTTTTACAATGTGGTATCGTTCGATTATAACTTTATTTAGTCATAACTGATAGTGTAACTTTTTAATTAATTTTAACACCACTAGATTGGGGTATTTTATTATATACTGTACTTTATAAAAGCAGAAAAAGTGATGCAATTAATTAGGAACAATTCCAGGTAAACAATAACTGATAATAACAAAAACAGAAAAAAAACGCGTTGCAAAAGTCAAAAAGGGAGATCTTCCCGCTCAGTACTTTACAGAGGAAAGATCTCACTATTCAGTTAGCTAAGTGTTAATATAGGTCTCTTAAGCTACAGAATAGTATTATTATTCGTTAAAAAATGGTTATTCGCCCGCAGAATTAATATATTCAAGAAAGATTCGGTCTCATATCCTTATTTAAAAAAAAAAAACCTAGGTCCCCTTATAGAACACGACAGAGTTGCTTTTAAATAAAATGCGAGAAAAAATAAACAGGAGAAAATGTACAATAACCTACACGTGAAGAAACTTTCTGTATTAAAAAGAAGCGATAAGATTTGGATGATAGATATGTGAATGTACACCAAAATTATAGATCAGGATGATAGTAATTCATACTTCATTGGAACAGAAAGTGGTGGCAAAGTTCGACGAAGTCGATGACATCTCATCTCGGTTCCGTATAAACCATCAGTTTGAAGATGAATGGCGTTAGTGTACCAATAATAACTCCTGAGCCTGCGCGAGCCAGTACACCGATATCGTCAAGTGTAAACAACAACCTGAACATGAACAGCGAAAATCCTCGCGCATAAGGCAAAGTGGTCCGAAATAACAATCTCGACGATAGCGTAGGTTATCTCGGAATAGAAAACCTCCCGAAATACTGATCTGTTTTGTGTAATGTATAACATCTACTACTTATAAGGTTATAAATAAGGACAACAACGCCCTGTGGAGAAAAAGAGTTAGACACGAGAGATCACGCTATACTTGAACAATTCCGAAACCATAAAACCAAACAAAAATAAAGGAAAAGACGATCAGCGACGACGAATACGAAACTAAAGAAGATGAGTAGCATTCATTAACAAGAGTCCTTATAGATTGCTCGACACTGAAGAAACCATGATATCTAGACGATCATGTTATGTTAGTGATAGAATTTGTGTAGATAGAATCCAGAAACGTTTAAAGCTGCTATGAACAGCAAAGAAAGCGCTAAATAGAGGGAAACCGTGAATGTCGAAATGTTCTCCCTACAAAAAAATCAGATGTGAAAGTTAATGGACCTATCAAGAAATGTGATGCGGTACCGTGCAAATGAACTATTCGCGTGAAAAGAAATCCCGATGACACGATCGACAAATACAAGGTAAGGTTAATCATTAAAGGATTCAATAAGTGTCAAAACATAGATTACAGCCAAACGTTTAGCCCAATTGTAAGCATAATATGTTTTGAGCATAGTAAACAGATATATTTGATATTCAATGTGTCAATGGTATTCCTATATTCAAAATTCGACAAGATCATATGCATGGAACAACCAGAACGTTATAGCAACAGTACCAATAGGATTAGCCTACTCAAGTAAAAGTTTGTATAGGCTGAAATAGGTCTCAAAAACAAGCGCTTTGCAGAATTGCTCGTGAAACTGAGATTTCAAACAGGCGATGTTGAGTCTTGCTTGTACATCCGAGATAAGAATGGTAAGGAACTCATACTGATACTATATGTAGATGACGGATTGCTAGGAATAACCGATCCAGAAGAATTGATTTTTATGTAAAACGTAAAAGATTGTACGGTAACATAGTAGGTTCATAAAAGAAATGAAATTTGTAAGATGATTATGCAAAATCCAAAAATACGTAAGTGCCCGAATATTTATCAACGAAGTATATAGCGTACATCAAATATATTTAATGGTTTCACAGAGAAAACATTTTTTAAATCTGATGTTACCCTTCTTCGTTAGTAAATGCATAGACGATATACGAATATTACATATTTTTCTATTATGGATATGAGATTAATTAATAATAAATAAAATTTAGATTATTGTGGAAACTAATGGTTTTTTTCATTAAGATAGAAATGAGGTGTATAAGTCGTGTCCTTGATGATTGTGGCTGGTGGCTGTAGATGTCGCTGCTGGGGGTACTGCTATATTTTCTGGTGGCTGGAGATGTCGCTGCTGGGGGTACTGCTATATTTTCTTCCTATTTAGAATCGTGGAATAAAAATCGGACTTCGGTCGCTGGGATTCGATCTCGCGTTCCGAACGTTCGTAACCTAATGCGCTAACCACTGCGCTACCGTCGTCCGTTGGTTGTTTATGTCGAGTCGCCACAGTACCCCCTTACCAGTGATAACGTTTCTTCCTTGTGTGGTAAAGCATCAGTAGTGTTTATTGCCAAATCCGAGTAGATGTGACGCGAAGACTTCGATGTGGCGATGGATACTCGCGCTACGGTGGCGTGTCGTCGTCGTTTCGTGTTTATCGTAGCGATAGAGGTTCAGTTTTCCCGACTTTCATCGACACGGAGATCTACACTTTCGCGCCCGCTCGCGGTACAAGTCGTGATAATAACATAGACCGTTTCGGGAGGTAGAACGCCGACGACGCCTCCCGGGGGAATGCGAACGCGAACGCATTCGTCGACAGACGCTAATACTGAGCGCGTTGATCCTCGCATTAATCTGCCGCAATTCCTCGCGCAATTCCTCGCTCATTTCCTCACGCCTTTCCTTACGCATTTCCTTCCTGAAACTGGGCGCTGCGTCGTCCTGTGCCTTGCGTTTGCTCACGGATGCTACTCTCGCCTCCCGCTGATCGCTTCCTGAACAGGCCTCCTCTATTCTATCCGTGACCTGGATTATTTTATCCGTGCTGATGTCGTCCATAACCTCCAACACCCGTCGTATGCGGTCTGGTAGACGATTCTTCCATAACGTGAGGATGAACTGATCCGACGCTAAGGGACTGGCCAGCTTCTTCAGGTCGTGGTAGAATTGGGACGGCTTACGGTCGCCCATCACCTCTTTTTCTACCAGTCTTTTAACCCGCTCGCTGTCGGATTCAGCTAGACTCCGTATCAGTTCTTCCTTTAGCCGGTCGTACTGACTGCCGACCGTGGAGTCCAAATCAACATCCTCGAGTCGCTCCAGATACTCTGATTCGAGACACCCAAACAGGGTGGCGACTTTGTCGGAATCTCGCTCGATTCCCGCCGCCTCAAGCTGTTTCTCAAATACCGTGAACCAAAACGATACCTTCTGCGGCTTCATCGGAGGCACGCGGATTGGTTGCGGGTGCATATGCGATAAATTGTTCTTAGACATTTGATCACGTCGGGGTCACCAATGTAGAGGATGAGGTAGTTCAAATATCCCTATTATAGTCTAAGTTGTGAGCACTTTATTAAAGTAATGCTTTGATACAAAGCACAAGTCCTGGTATATAATTAATCGGAATAAATACGCGCGTGTGTCGAGAAACTTCGTATACACTTTGATGCGTCGATATTACTGAACTCTCCCGCTCGTCAATTCGCTCGTTTATTTATACTGGTCGGGGGACAGTCGGAAAGTTTGAACTCGACTGCGTTTGTCGGTTGAAAGTAACGACGACATTGTTTTGCTCTGAGTTTGGTTATTAATACAATATGTGTGTGTCCTACGATATTGATGCTCCGAGGGAAAACAACAATAAGATTTGAATTTATTAGCGTGCCGCTACAGGAACAGAAAGAAAACACAAATAATCTACTGAAAGTTGAAATAAGTAATATCTGGTTTCTTCTTTCCATCAAACACAAGAAATAAACTTTAATGAAACTATTTGGGTTTGAAGAAAACTTGTACAGAATATGAAATAAAGTCGGATGAAAAATCGATTTGATACTACAATTTCGGTTGGGTTAAACGAGAAGCACGTAGCATAGATGTCACAAAAGCAACATCAATCGTGACAAGACGTTTTATTCATAAATTGTTCACCGATCAAAAAGTGTTGCAACAACGATGTACCGGATATATCAATGAAATATCATAAATTTTACATAAAGAATACATCACATAAAGAATACTTCATCGATACACTGTTCAAAAATGTCTATCTCAAATTGGGGCGTTTGTTTGAGAGGTTCTTCGTCAACGCTGCAGTGATGGATTTTCGCGTGTACGGACGTAAAAGCGCACCCAGCGTTCCGTTTTTCGAGGACCATACTAATCTAAGTACTGAATCTAAGTATTGAAGAATGAGTTAACTAAATCATTCGTATCTGTTTGTTTAGATGAAATCAATAATTTTTAAGTCAAAGTTATATAGGATTAGAATTTTATACAAGGTGTTCATTATAATAATCAACAACCAAAGTTAGTTAGAAGTTAATTGACAATGGACTAAAATATACAAATTAGAATATTTTCGAATTAAAAATCGGGGTCACGTATGTACACTTTTTAAAATATATGTGAAGAGTCAAGAAAAGTAAATGATAAATATATTCTTGCTTATTTTTTTATTTTTATATCGCTATATGTCTAAGAGGAAGTATTTTAATATAAAGGAGCTAAAAGTGGAATCTGTTAGGTCCAAAAATATAGTTGAAGTTTTTTAATAGTCTAAGGTATATTTGTTATAACAAGCAATGCTTTCACATATATGAGGAGGTTAGAAAAATACATATTAAGCTCTGAAATCAAATAAAAGCACACATTTTATAACATAGAATAATGATGATAATAATAAAAATAACAAAAAATTAAATTTAATAATTTAAAGAAGATTCCTCATTTTAACTTTTCGGCGAACTGCATTGCTAAAACCTTCTTTGTATTTATACCATACACCATTCCTTGTTAAACGATTTAACGAATTCATTGGTTCTTTATCCAATTTGTTGTGTTTATCTTGATCGATTGTAATAATTCTTCCAAAGAAATCCTTATATTTCTGTAATTATCATTATTTTTGTAATATTTATGTTGAAGAGGAATTAAATAACATTAAAAGAAACGTAGAAAGTTATTACTGTTTCTGTTGTTTTTGTTTGAAGATTTTTAGATTGTTCTATAACATTAGTTTTGCTAGCTGTATTATTGCATATCTTGGCGACAGGATCTGATGTTGAATTGGTTATAACATTATGATTTGTAATTCCTTCATTTTTACTTTGAATAGATCTTGTATTTTTTATTGCATTTTCAGCTCGTCGTAATCGTTCAGCTTCTAACTCTTGAACAATTATTTGTTTCACTGTATATGTGAGTGTTCGATGATACTTACAATCCGGAAAAATGCCTATTTCAAATATATTACTGAAAAAATATAATTAATTTGTACATTTTACATACGAATCTAGACTATACTTTTCTAACTTACGGATCTAGTTTGTAGTCATAACTTTCATCAAGATTCTTTTCTTGAATGAATGTGAGGCCAATGTCAATTAAAATATTCACTAATCGATTAAGATCATCCTTCTCTTTGTCTGAGTGTAAATGTCCAGAAACTGTTCGTAATTGCGGAGATAATAAATCCGGAAGAAAAGGAGCAATGTCGATTGTTAAAATTACACTGTTACGACCACTACTTCGTTGAACAGCAGTTAGAATACCAACGTTCCTTGCATGTTTCTGACTCATCTAGGGAAATTGAATTTTTAAATTAAATTTATGAGTCTAGATCATATCATATGTGTATATGTATGATAATTATATATACAATATATGTAATTCTTACTTCATATGCAATGGAAGGATAGGATAATTTAACATTTCCTGCGGTTGCAAAGTATAAATGCCAGGCAACGAATGTATAATTTATATAAGGCATAACAGACCAAGTTTGAAGACTTGCAATAAGTGAGAAAATTTCATCAAAAAGTTGAAACCATTGTAAACATAATGCTATATAACTAAAATTATCATTACAAGTTTCTGGATAATTATGGAATACGCCTTGAGCTAATTTTTCTGTTTCTCCTAAAGCAAAAAATAAATGTTATTAATATCTTAAAAATTTGTATTAATAATATTACTATAAAAATAATTTACCATTTTGCACAGTTTTTAGTACAAGTTGAACTCTTTCTGAAAGAGGCAGTATACCACTTCTATTCATGGGTATTTTTAATATTTGTTTCCACGAGTCGAACAATCCTTTTCTACTATCTTTTAATGCAAAAGATAAATTGTCGCCTAAACTAATACCACCCATATATTGTAATGCTCCTAGACATGATCTAATATCGCAACCAGATACTTTTATTAATCCTAAAAGTGCATCAGGATTTACTTTTAAATTTTCTTTTTGTGATATTTCCATTAACCTGTCTGCTACTTTTGTAGCACTTACTTCTGGTACTGGTATAATGAGGGCAACTGCCCTAAGAGCTCTATAATAAATATAAAATAAAATTAATATTCATGCATAGGAGTATATGAATCATACAAATAAGTTGTATTAGAAATTTACCTTAAGGAAGGGGTATATGGTTCATTACAGATACATATTACAGGACGGTGACAAGAATTTGATTGTTTAGCAGTTTTAGTCTTATCTTTCTTTCCTTTTGAAACTAATTTACCTTGTACGAACTTAAGAAGAAGATCGATTGATGCAGCTGGTGCACCATCAATTTCATCTAAAACTAAACAATTTGGCTTTGGATCGTTTCCCATTACTGCTTTCATTTGTGTTGATGCAAGAAGGACTTGTCTATATTTAACAATACATATCTATACAAATTTGCGATTTCAGTTGGATATTAATTTTAATTGTAAATTACCTAAATGCATCTGGACTTCTTTCATCACTTGCATTTATTTCTACTACATTATAACCAGCATGTTTGGCTGCTAAATGGGCTAACGTAGTTTTTCCTAATCCAGGTGGTCCGCTAAGTAGCACAATTCTCTGAATTGGGAAACCTTTACTATCTACTTCCTGAAAAGCTTTTTCATCCATAAATTTTCTATTTTTAAATGTAGAATTTACTTTTTTCTTCTTGTTATTAACATAATTTCGATTAAATACTATTTTATCCCAGAGTTTTATCCAATGTAATAAGTGTCTGTTTACACTTTCATCTGAAAGTAATTCCATGTAAGATCTAGGTCTATATTTATCAACCCATAGTTCATCATCTTTAGCAGATTTTGTAGCAGCAAGGTAGGGAATTTCACAACTGGCACGCTTAACATTCTGTAATATCTACAAAAAGACTTGAAATTCTTACAATATGCATGTCATTAAAGTTATTGCAATATATGTTGAAAGAAGAGATAATATATATCTTCAAGTCACTTACAATTTCTTCAGCTGCAGTTTTAAGTTGACTATATGGTACTGACAATAAGTTAGAAATCGAATCTGCATTTTTTTTAATTTTATTTTGCTCATTATTTTTTACTCTTATATAAATACGTTGTGCATCATGTGGCCTAGTCAGAGCAATAAAATTCCAACGGGGAACTCTCAATGATATCGACTCTCTCTTGCTAAATAAAATTATGAAGCAAATAATATGAATCTTTTACTACTTTCAAGTATAAAAGTTAGCGTATTTTCTTTTAACATACTTTTCAACATCTTTTCTGTTAAAAGAAACTCCACTGTCACATTCATTAAACTTAACCTTAGCATCTGCTACCACTTTAATAATTTCTTGAGGTTCATTCCATCGTGGTTTCTTTTCTTTTGGTTCCTGAATATTAGCTATAATTCAAATACAATGATTTATCATATATATGAATGTTTTAAGCTATATGAAGATACATACCGAAATCATTTACATCTAATATATCTGAGATATCGCCAAAAAGTTCATTATAATTTCTCTTTTTTGTAATATCTGTACCAAAATTGTCATTGCTTTCAATAACTTTACTAGTACTAGGAATACATAATTCATTGTATTTACTAGATGTAGGAGTATTTAATTCCTTATATAGATTTGATATAACAGCATTCGATTCATCTTCTCTCCGCTTCTCCTGCAAATTCTGAACTTCTTGAGGCTGTTCTCCTTTTTTTTTTTCAAGCTCTAAAAGTAATTTAAATTTGTAATTACATTTATTTTGTGACTTTAATTAACTTTTTTTGCATTAATAAACAAAAAATTTATTAAATAATAGGATAGAATATCCTATTAAACAAAGTTTCCTATTTCTCATACACAAATTCTTAGATCATTTACATAAATTTATAAGGAGTTATGACAGCAAGGTTATAATTTGTATACCTTCAATTTCTTTTAAAACTTCATATTCATCTTCGTGAACTAAATCAAATTCTTCATCAGGATCGGGAAATTCAGAATCCATAATTGCAATTTGTTTTACAAATATTTTAATTGTTATATATTGGTGTTCTTCAAATTTAATCCTAGTTGTACATTTTTGTATACGTATACATTATCTATTATATTTTGCCGCGTATTTTTTCGCGGGAATTTTAAATCGTAACACATGAGTAAATAAACAAATATGATTTCATAGTCAATGAAGATAAGTGATATCAATATATATTTAATTGTATTAATATCTATTTTACTTCTGTTAATATCTATTTTAATAATACATTTTCATATACAAATTTTTTCGACATTTGTTTCGACGAACTATGGGTTGTATATTAACCATTCTCTTGGAAAATGATATTAAAACTTCATTAATTCTATACGTATATACATATACATATAAAACTGACTTTGTTTATAATATATTTATATCCTACAGTCACATAAACTTTACGTAGCGTGCCATTACTGAAACCGCTGCGGTTCAGCGAACACTTTTACGAGCTTGTGTACGGTACCAAATAAAAATATTGACACAATCCGGATCTTCGTATAAATTTCTTCGTAAATCTGTAAAGAATGTGATTCTCTATTTAATCTTTTTGTAAAATATAACTGGCGATTCTAAAGTTTACCATGGTATACCATATAATTAAAAATTCAAAAAATAATTATAATACAGAAGAAAGGTAGAACACACACAAAGGTCAGTGTTCAGCGAAACAGAAGTATCGGCACACTTGCGATTTTGTTATATAAATTTATTATAACATTTGATTTAATATTTAGTATGTAATCCTACTTCTTTATGTCAATTTTCAGATGATTTGACATTGAATGTACTAATTTTTTTTGTGACTTTTGATCTATTCACATCAAGCATAGAAAGAAAACTAAAAAGGAAACACCCAACAGATCTCACAAAGGATATAACCTAACAAACACGAACGTGGTACCCCGCTGGGGGACGCCACCCACATGTTATATTACTATACCATTAAGCTATAATATTTTATCAAATGTCCTACTGGACAAATTGTAAAATTTAAATAAATAAATAAATAAAAAAGATATTATATTACTATACCACAAACCTATAATATTTTACCAAATGTCCTACTGGACAAATTGTAAAATGTAAATAAATAAATAATAAAAAAAAAATTCCTCAAGAAGTACTTTCTTCAGATCTTACTTATTAATATGACGTGTCTTAATCCTTCTTCCTAATTCAAACCAAAAATGCTGAATAGAATTTAGGTCTGAGGATTGTGAGAGTCATTAACATATACGGTGTACTAAAAATGATTTTTAGAAATTGTTTAATAATATAGGTTATGTGTGTGGAATCATTATCCTGTTGAAAATAATAATCTTAACATAAATTTTATTTTTCCGCCTTTTTCCAAACTTCTGCTTCCAGATATTTAACTAATTATATTTGTCCGTGGCATTTTCGATAAAAATAAGCTCTCCTACACGAAAAGGGCACATACATCTCCATACCATCATCCCACCTCATCCGTATTTGACGGTTTGGATATAGTTTTTTTATCTAATTCAGTATTCGATTTTCACCAAATTAAAACCTATCCACCACATTAAAAAATATTCGATTTGCTATCGTCTGAAAGCAGTATCTTGTCCCAGAATGCTTTTCTTGTACATAATTAATAACAAACTTCAATGACTTTTTTTATTAATTTTTTTACTGCATGATTTTCGTTTTGCAACTCTTGATTTATATCCAGCAGATTTTGAGCGTTCTTCGAACTATTTTAACTGGGGTCTATTTCCGTGTTAGATTTATTTTTGCACTGTTGCAGATATTTCCGAGGACTTTTTTCTCTTCTATAAGCTCTCGGAAGACATCCGTTTCGTGTGGCATTTGTTCAATCTTTTTCGCAAAAAAATTGTTTAATCATTTTTTTCTACGGTAAAAGAGCTTCTGTTAATAATAATTGTTTAATTACACTTTTTACGGCAAAATGACTTCTGTTAATAATTTTTTGCGGACAAGATTTTTCTTTATGTCCTACTGGACAAATTGTAAAATTTAAATAAATAAATAAGAAGAATAAAAGAAAAAGATTTTCCTTGGTCATATAAATTTAACATAATATTTCTTTTACCATTTATTGCTTCTTTTGTTTCATTTCTCATTATTTTCCTTCTTTTCTGCAAAATATTCTTACTAACTTCGAAAAATGACGATCGGTTTGAATGAAGGTATTACCTGTGGCATAATAAGTGTAGGACAATGAAGACCGCCTGTCTTTCGACCTATTGTCACATGCCATAAATTAAGGATTAAAGGTGCCATAAATTAAGGCTTCACCTGACTAGTTCGGACGTCGTGCAATTACGACTCCTGAAAATGCAAGATTTTGAACGTTTTTACACGGACCAAAGTCAGACTGAGCAGCTGAGTGCACAGGAATCCTACAATTGAACGATACATAGGCAACAGCTTACCTACTACAAGTCGTAGAGAAGAAGATTATATTCGAAGGCGTAAATCATCCTGCGCGATGTTTTGAAGAAAAATCGTAGATTAAACATTATACCTATCTATTCCTTAAAATTCATAACAACACATCGAAAACTTCATGAAATTTTCGAATAGAAAGGATTAATGTTTCTTCTGATCCTTTGCCTTCATAAATAAATAATATATGATAGTACATATAAACAATGTTTATACAAATTTCACGCATTCATAGCTGTACACTGGTGTTCAAAATCACATACGCATTAAGTATTCTTGAGGATTTTTTTTTATTTTTAATTTGTGCTTTACAATTTGTCCAGCTGGACATTTCGCAAATTTTTTCTAACTTACTCTTATGGTCGAACGCTATCTTGCACGAACCACACACTTTCTATACAAATTTATGGTATTCTTCGCCAACTTTTCCTTTCATTTTCTTTGTATAATTTCTTGCAAATTACCCAGGCACGTCAGTCACGTTATTACTTGTGGACAGTTATCTGTAGGCAATTACCTCAGGGTATTCGTTGCTAAAATAATAGTATCCTTGCAAGACAGTTCTAAGCATTATTAAACATATTAGGAGGGTATTCCATCGCTTTTCTCAATAGGCATACTCAATTCGCTCTTCAAAACATTGTAGGTAATTACCCTGAGGTAATTGTCTACAGGTAACTGTCCCCAGGTAATAACGTGACTGACGTGCCTGGGTAATTTGCAAGAAATTATACAAAGAAAATGAAAGGAAAAGTTGGCGAAGGATACCATAAATTACTCTCCGGAATAAACTCTCCGCTACAATCTTTGTTTTGGCGATTTTAGAAATGCAGATAGATGAGAAAGCAAAACTCTTCTGGAAAGATTGAATAATTTCGACAGCCAACGAGAAACGTTAAGAAAAGCTGTTATGTATGAACATAAAATTGGAGTTCATTGTAGTTTTAGTGTAGACTTAAGTTATTGCACTGTAGATTTTATGGGCCTTCTTATTTTTAATCTTTTAAGCTTTCCTATTTCCATTATTTTTGTATTTTTAAATCTCTTTTATTTAGTTCCAACGCGAGTAATTTGGATATGTGTGCGTAGTGCGTACAGTGCGTGTTATATGTATCGTGCTTATTGTGTATCTGGTTTGCAAAAAAAAAAAAAAAAAAAAAAAAAAAACGAAGGTTATATTGAACATTTACTATAACATAAAACGATTGCTATTTTCGTTAGGATTTTTCTGTGAATAGCCTGGACTCGCGGTGTGTATGTTAGATTTGTACAAACATTGTTAATACGTGCTATTATTTATTAAGCATTTATGGAGGCAAAGAATTAGAGAAAACATTAATCCTCTCTTTGTGAAAATTCCACGAGGCGATATTCGATATATTGTTACAGATTTAACGAGTGGGTTTGATATTTAATCTATGATTTTGCTTACAAAATGTTGCGCATGTGGGTTTATGTTTTTGAATGTCGTAATCTTCTTTTCTGTGACTTGTACGAGATAATCTACTCGTTACAAACCAAACACCCTATATATATATTTATATATTTCTCGTGTGTGTTGTTTTGTAAATTAATATTCGCATAAATAGTTCATCTAAAACTAAATACGATTTTTTACGTTTATCGATATACAGGGTGGTTGGTAACTGGTGGTACAAGCGGAAAGGGAATAGAATAATCATTTTTTTTTTTAATTTCTTTTTTTTTTAATTTTTAGAGAGATTTTTAGTGAGATCCGTTATAACGAGACGCGATAAAGTGCACGCGTACCGAGCGAAAATTCAAAGTCGATTTTCTCGAAAACAAAGCCTCGAACGAAAAATTGTTATTCTATATTTTCGACTTCTTTTTTCGCGTAGAATCATCCCCTTTCCGCTTGTACCACCAGTTACCAACCACTCTGTATATGAAATTGTATCATGTAATTAATTCCACAAAGGGGTATTAGAAGAAAATTGTCTGAAACATTGTAACTCGATAACACCAACATATACGAAGAAGTGTTATGCACGATTCAAGAGGTTCTTCAATTAATCTTAATGGAATTCTGATATGCCATTAACAATCTCAAACTTTAATGGACAGAAAATAATATTCAGTCACGATTCTATTTTACCCCCCTTGAGTGACCTTGAGCAGCAAAGAAAATAGCATTATATATACCTATATATATATATTCTACATATCCTCAAAATTTCATAATTTTCTGAATTTCCGGGCTGAAGATTTTTCCTCGTAAATTTTTACATTATACAAAGATTTGTAGGTATATGCAATTTTACTGTACTAAAGATCACAAACTCTTTAAATAAATATTTCTGCAATTAATTTAACAATATGTTTAGACATCTCATTTCTGAATTTGTCAAATTTTACAGATAAATCAAGCCACGAGTTCTAGACCTGACTTCGTTCCTTGGATATTGATATCCAAATTTGATAGAAGTAAATTTTGAAACTGTCAATAGGCACGCGAGTTTCGAGACAAGGATCAATCTTGTTGATTCATAATATCATATCTAATCTGCGGATGTTTATGTATTTTTATATTTTTATGAGCATAACCAAACAAATAGAATTTAAATAGAAATTTTTTTTCATCTACTAAACATTATAATGACACTTTACTTTCGATTTATATTTTTT